GGGTGCAGCCCGTGTACAAAAGTATTTACATCTTATTGATGCCATTTATGACATGTCCCAAATCTTCAATCCTATACATGTTGTGTCCCAAAAAAATAGAACTAAAACAGTGGAACCAACTATTCTTAATCTTTACAATATTCCTTTCCACTCCATCAAACGCCCTCCTATTCTCTCTTTCCAAATAACCCAAAATATAGTCAAGGGGATAATTTTTAAAATTTTTTTCTTCTTACACATCCCACCCCAAGCTCACAACTCCTCTTTCACCGAACCAGCCCCAACCCAATTAATACCCAACAAGCCATAAACCATTGACCATACATGGAATTTCCAAGTTAACTCCTTGTTGCAAACTTTGTAAAAAAGGAAAAAACAATTAAACGTTACTTCTTGCAAACTGACAGTGTTTGGATAGGCTTGAAACTGGTGGAGAGCAATGTGTGCTTATTTCTTATGATGTGTACAGACTTAAATATCACCTACTTAAAATGAAAGTCATGAAACATGCAATGCCAATCATTAGTTGGATTCATTTTGTGGCCCAACCTTGAAAGGCAGATCTCAGAAGATTTTAGATTCCTGACTGTTTTGGTTCCATGGTCTGGCACTTTTTACTGTTCCTATAACCTTGAAATTTACGAGTTATTTTCTTTCCGGATGTGTTTATACGTGTCATGTAATGGAGCCATGACTCTCTCCCTCTCTCTATGTTATTTAAAAAAAATCATTAATTTTCTCTCTCTTTTTATGTCATTTTTACTTCTCCATATTTAGATATCTTATATAGCCATTAATTGATGCTAGATGCTGATGTGAGGCTGGCTCGTAGAATAAGACGTGATACTGTTGAGAGGGGTAGGGACGTTACCTCCGTTCTTGAGCAGGTAAAGCTCTTCATAATATATTTTTATCTTAAAGTCGTTTCATTTCTCCCTTGGGTTTTCCTGAATATCTCTACAAGCAGTGGAGCTGTAAGTAACTTTTTGCAGTCCATGATATCACATTTTGATGGAAGCATTTGCATAATGCTCTGTATTTATGTCAGAGTGCTGATCTTTGTTTTTCTCCCCGTTTTTACTTTCTAAAATATGGAAGATTTTCACTCACAGAAGCTGAATAGAATAGGAATTCAATACCTGCTGTTAAGCCGTGCCACAAGCTGAAGTGAGATGCCAGTCAACTTACAGCACAGTAGGACTAATAGTTAGTTTGTGCAGATATAGGTTCTCATGGTTCTGGTTTCCATGATAAGATAATTTTAAACTTCTATGCACTTTTGTTTTTCGTATCTCTTACTGTTAGTATTTTCTTTATTCTGATTAAGTGATTTTGTTATAGTTGGTCCCATACGCTGACCATTATTATGACTTTTTGCAGTATGCGAAGTTTGTTAAACCTGCATTTGATGATTTTGTTCTGCCTTCGAAGAAGTATGCTGATGTGATCATTCCCCGTGGAGGTGATAATCATGTTGCCATTGATTTGATTGTTCAACATATCCACACAAAGCTTGGCCAACATGATCTCTGCAAAATATATCCCAATGTAACTGTAATTCAATCAACATTTCACGTGTGTCTTCTTCTGATATCTGTTATATTGGTAGGTTTCTTTTCACTTAGTACTAGTTTAGATGTGGAGAATGCACAGGTAAATGGTAGTTTTTGCTATATGATGAGAGAGTCGTCTTTGCAAA